CCTCCTACTACTTACTAACTAACTACGTTCGTACGTCACTCTACGCTTACTTAACGTAAAGAACGACACTAGTTAGTTAGTTATTAATTAGTAGACACTACTACTATATATATATATATATATATATATATATATATAGCAGCAATCGGAACTCTACTCGTGTTTGCACCGTAATAATTATTAGGCGGTTCGTCAGATACTGCGGTCTTACAAAACAGCAAGGGAGTACGTACGCAGCGGAGAAAGTCGTGAGCCTTAATTGATGCCCCAGCAGTGAAGGAAAGCCATTAGATTTTGTTGCGGCGATACTCTCCTAGCCGTCTATAGGAAAAAGCTTTTATTATGCTTCGCGGTCTCATCTACTATACACGTCTGACTAGCCGACGTAATAAGCCTTTTCATTGCCACCTTCGTCGAATATTCGCCGGCATCCCCCACCCACGAGTTAGTTTCCGAGTGCTCGTAGAGTGCAGCATTAAAATCACATTCGCTGTAGGCAGGTGAGTTTGCGTTACCTATATAAACAAAAAGAGAATATAAGTAGAGAGAGAGAGCAGGGCTCTGCTGTCTTATTGGTGTCTGTAGCCTCGCGTGTCTGAATTCAAGAATCCAAATCCAAGAATCCATTTCATAATCCGGAACTCAACGATTATCGGTTAATTCATTTTACGGTGCCTTTAACGCCGATGGCATAAAAAATATCGCAGCGCGGAGGTTTCAAATATATAAACCGGTGTAGCAACATTACAGTGTGCTTATTTTGACAGATTTTTTGACATACTTGAAGAATATAAATATATCTATGATATATATAAGTGTGACTGGGCTATTTTGAGGTTTAAAAGCTCTACACAAATCCTTTAAATCAGCGTAAACAATAGCGTTGAATGTCATGCGACGTTGCATAAAATTTTCATCCATTTTGACGAAGATAATCGGTAATAGATTCAAAGCCGATGTAGTCCTTTAGAAAACTAGCTCGCTTTGTTATCAATGGTCTGGGATACTCGTATATAGAGCTTAAATCCACCGGCAAGGCTAGACACTGGTTGGGATTTTGCGAGGTACTTGACGGAGTAATCCTCTGAGGAGAAATGGCCAGTGAGAATGAGCAATCTGTGTTATGATAACGCTCAAGGTTTTAGGCAAAATTTTACCGATTTTTCATTTTCGACTTTATTCGATGGCTAACACTATGTGCTACCTCTGTATATGCTCATTTCTCTATATAACGGTACATGTGAACTTTTAGAGCGTTTTGATTGCCCGCGTACACGTGTAGTGAGCAGCAGCTGACGTCACTAAGGACGTCAGAGACATGATACAACCAGAATTTTCATGATATTCACTAAGCCAGTATCATTCAGCATCAACCATCCTACACCTGTCATCTGCCAGTGATAGTTGAAATTGCCGCGCGACCGAAAATAGCCCCATTTCCCTTGTTACACACTTTGCATTTAGGCGCGTGTTTGTTGACACATAGCTTCGTAACGCTCATAGGGTCTATGTCCCCCAGGGTATTGCCGGAACGTACCCTGGGTACGATCCGGTATACCGGAACGTACCCTGGTAACTATCTAGCTGATATGGTTAGGGTTAGGGTTAGGGTTAGGGTTAGGGTTAGTGTTAGGGTTAGGGTTAGGGTTAGGGAGTAGGCGTAGGCGACTCCCTAGATTCGTTAATGGAGTAGGCGAGGCATATTAGATAGTAGTATTTAGTACCAGGGTACGTTCCGGTATACCGGACCGTACCCAGGGTACGTTCCGGCAGTACCCTGGTGGACATAGAGTCATAGACACTCTCAGCCTTAAGGGCCGGACACACCAGGCGATGCCATCGGCCGATGATCGGCGTGAAAATCGCCTGGTGTGTCCACTCAATCGCCGCCGATGCCATCGGCCGATGGCGTCGGCCGATGGCATCGCCCTGGCATCGCACAGATCAAAACGTTTTGATATTATCGCCCGATGGCATCGGCCTGGCATCGGCCTGGCATCGGCC